CAAGACAATCTTTCCCTTTTATAGTGATTTTTAGATAGACAGCACCATCATTATCAGCATAGCAGCACATTACAGCTAGTATAGCTAGTACACCACAAATTCAGGAAGCAAGACAAAGCTCCCTTTCCAATAAAACTTGCAAAGCCAGTTTGCAAGCAACAGTTAAAACTGCTGATAAAATGAGCAGTCATCTATCACAGCTTTTTTAGATTTTATCGCATTTCCTCAGAATACTGCCATACAACCACGGCATTAAAGTTAACAATGCTTGTGTCTATTTCTTTAGCTTTTCCCCATTACCCTTAATACCTCTTGCTAAAAATCACAGTTTCATAAAATTAAACATACTTTTGGATAAGGACATACTGTTTACAACCAAGCCTTGACGAAGCTGTGTGGGAAAAAAAAAATAATAAAGCCCTTAATGACATACTGTGTGCTTTGTAACGATAACGTTTCAGAACATCTGCTAGATGTACCTGGGAAAAGTACTTCACAGACAGAGAACTGTACAGGTCAGCAAATCATCTTCTGCAGACCTTCAGGCTTTTTTTTTTTTTTTCTTTTTCTTGAGAAAAATTGCAGTTGTCTTCTTTATAAGTGTTCAAAGCAGTCTCTCTGCATCACCATTCACAGCAGTGTCAGAAACCAAGCATGAACACCAAAAAAATCTAAATTGTCCAAAAATCACAGAAGATCATTGATAGGAGTAGGGAGATTTTATGAGGTTTTCTGGCACTTGGGGTGTACTGTTAGGGCTTCCCCTGACGAGGCAGTGGCCTCCTTAAGCCTACTGAAATTAAAATAAAAAGGTAACTAATTATTGAAAGTAGAATTAGACCATGTAGATAACCAAACTTCCACCTTCCACTTCCTCTTCTATTTCAACCTGGCAGTCTTCCTTAGAGAAGGAACCTAGAGGTGTGCCAATGCACGGAGAGGTTTCTGCTCTTATCTCTCTACACTACATCCAATCAGGAGGTGAATACTAAGGAGACAGCAATATTCCTGAACTACGCAGAAGACATCTTCTCAGAGGGTACCTCTCTGCCACTCAAACTTGGTTAAAATTTGCTAGGAGAGAAGTAACCCGACCCCTTTCCTTATGACGCCTTTTTTTTTTTTTTTTTTAACTTGTCTTCATTTTGTGAAAAAGGAGAAGAAAAAATGTTAGAGCAGTAGAAGAATGAAGACAAATATAATTCACTATAACATTTTCACTAACTGATTTATTCTTGTAGCTGCCTCTCTGTTCTGTGACGAAGAAAGGAGGATGATGGGAGTTAACAGAAAACATTTCCAAAATATCTATCAAGCAATGAATTTGTGTGCTGTGGTTTTACACATTGCTCTCCTTATTGTTTGACACGAGAGAAGTTTTTTCACAAAAACCCGGTATGGTTTCAAATGTAACACCTCTTACCATGTAACTTTAGTTTTGATGACTTTCAATGTACAGGGTTTCCTGACGGCAGGGAATTTTATCATCCCTGCTTTACAATGAGGAAAACATGGGCACTGGAGATGTAAATGTTTGTATTTTCAAGTTTTACAGCAGGATGCTAGTGGAGATGGAAATCCAAGCTAAGGAAACTCTAGTGCAGACTAACTCCCTGTAGCTGTAACTATGAAAGAGATTATTAAATCTGTGCTTTCTATCTGCTCTTACAGTAAAGTTACGGTGCTTTGTATTCACTAGGATTTTAGAAGGGGATGGATAACACGAGTATTTATTGCATGATCAAACATATGCTTTTAAACGGTGAAAATGAAGCTCGAAACTGTCAAAGTGCAGGGTACAAGGACAGAAAAAGGAATAACTTCTCCTGTACCTTTTCTTTCCTTTTTGAGAGCTCAAAGGCCATTTCCCTAAGGATATGTTCTTTGCTATACATTCAGATGTCAAATTGAAGGGATTTTAACACCCGTTGTTAAATAGCTTAGCAGGAAAACGGATAAAAAAGAAAGCAAGATGACTTCTCCAAAAGTATCATTCAAAATCTTGATTATACCCTAAAAACAAAGGAAATACATTCCACTACTTTTCAAATGCAAGTAGCTCAAATAATGATGGCAAAATGAAGTGATTTAATAACAATTTAAGAAAATACAAAATGTGACTCTTTACAATTTTTTTTTTTTTAAATTGTAAAATATGCTCATTCTCTAAGTAGCTGACATAAATGGCAGAGAAATGAACATGAATTAGCAACAATTTAGGTAAAAACCAGGAGATTGAGTTGCAAGTACTTTGAAATCTTTTTGAAACTGTAAAATTCATTAGGACAGGGCTTGGGTGGAAGGCAAAATCATCTCTATGGCTCAGCTCCCTGCTGGGAACAATCATTTAATAAAAGTAAAAAAAAACTGTGAAATACATTTTAAAATCATTATGTACACTGTCACATAGAAACCTGTAAGTCTTACTTACAGCCATCTATGTACGCGCTTAGGCAAATCAGATGCTACAAGCAAGCAAAATGCAAGCACGTGAAAGCAGCTACTGGCATATTTGGAGCTCTTGTTTTTGTCTCTCCGTTGACATGTTACACCAGACAAAATATATCACAGGGAAGTAAATTCTTTACAAAATATCATTCCAAGAAGAGATTAAAAATGCTGGTAGGAAAGAATGGGACAAGGAGATGGAGGAGACAACTGTGCTGTACTTTTATGCCATAGCTCAGTACATTAACACTCCTCAGGAACATGGGAAACTGAAGCTCAATTGTCTCCTGAGGAGAGCTGCAGCTACTCCAAGATGGCTCATCAACTATCAGCCAAAATATATTCCAGAGTACATGACGCTCCATCTGGCTCAGAAAGAGAACTTCCAAGCTTTCGTCTTAACTGAAGGCTCACAAGGAACAGATGGTTAGTACACGATCTGATTGTTGCATGCAGTAGACGCTGGGCACACAGGGAAGCCTGTTGGGCTACTGCTCTGCCCCTCAGGCTAGACTATCACTCATGCCCTCTCCTGTCTGTCTAGCAGGCTATGCAAGTATTTTGTTCAAGACAGAAGGGCTCCCCAGCATGAAAAATCAAAGGAGGTCCATCTCAGACCACTGAAGCCTGGGTAGATAGGAAACTCCTGCAAGTGGCAAGTCTGAAGCGGGTTTGAGCCAAGCCACTAGCCAAGAGCAGCAGTGAACTCACCTCTTCTGCTTCTCGGAAGAGGATGAGAACCACTGAGATATAAAAGGAAAAGAACTTTGCTCACATCCTTATCACATCTGTGCTATTTTCTTCCTTTCCAAGGGGACGCGGGGGTGGACACAACATATTTAACTCCCTGGCAACTGATTTCAGGTTATACGTTGTTTATTATTTTGCTTTGTTTTATTTTAATTGCCAGTTAGTCAAGACAGCTCCAGAATCATGCAGAACTACATTGTGATAATCCACAGCACACGCTCATTAGTAACATGAAAAAGACAGTCACATGTCTGCAGTATCATATCCTAGGATTAAGGCTAAAAAGTGGAGAGAAACAGGGAAAACTACACTAAGAGTGTATACTGTGAGTAGGAGTTTGAGGATTATCTGTTATTTTGGTACAAGATACAATCACACTAGGTTGTTTTCTCAGACAGCCTAATAGCTTAAAAAAAACCCCAAAACAACAACAAAAAAACCCCACAACTTTTTCTTCCCCCAAAACCAATTTTGACATCAAAAAGGACACTCTCCCTGTCCAAAATGTTCTCTGCTTTCCTTCATATCCACCAATGCTTAATGAAAATATTTGGACTCCACCATATCACAGAAAAATTATTTTACTTTCCTTTGGATTATTCAGTGTCCCGAAATCAAAAATCTTTCTTTCCAGTAAATTATATAGAAACAAAGAAAAATAGCAAACACAAGTTCTTACTTTTTCTAGATTTTAAATGTCTTTATAATTCACTTTGGCTGTTTCAGATTCATTCTTAAAAGCCTGTTTTTAAAAATAAGTGTACATTTCACTGTAGGAATGAACCTACTGAATATTGACAGTTGTAGAAGTAAATACTGCTGTTATGGCTGCATGGAACACTGTTGCAGACAAGTCTAAAGACTATGTCCCGAAACACTCCATGTTTCACCATCGTTAAAGAGCGGGATTTTCTAGACATAAGAGGGAAAACTCAGAAAAAAGATATTACAGCTGCTAAGCAAGTTCTTTTCTTTCTTTTTCCTCTTTCCTTTTAGGAACACTCCTCAGGAAGAGGCTGAAGGAGAGTGTAGGGCCCCAGATAGCAAAAGCATATGAGGAAGAAATTAATTAGTTGCAGGAACAGGAAAAAGTATTCAAGGTTTGGGTTCAGCCTCCGCTCCCCGCCAAGTTCTGGAGCAAATACCTGTAGAAACAGTCATATAAAAAGCACTGGAAGAGAGCTTGAGACATCCAATTCCCTGCAGCAACTGAGAACCAACAGTAGCACAATCACTCCTGCCATCCTTACTCGCTTTATTCTCAAAGTTATAGGATTATGGGTAGTTAAGGAGTACACTAGAATGTCTAATTATCCTTATAGTTAGAAAGAGCTTCCTATGTCTAAATTACAGTTCCTTTACTGCCAGTTATGATTATAACTTCTCTTATGCCTAGTTAACACAGAAAAGAGTTTATTTACTTCTAATTCACAGCTTCTGTTACATACGTGAAGATCTCTACCAGGTCCTCCGATGAGCCATTTTTTCTCTCGCTCAACAAGCCCAGTTTTTCCATTTTTTCCCCGCAAAGCTTGTACATTCTAGACTTTGGTTCAGACCTGTTTCTGAGTAAGCGTATAGGAAAGTGGTTGGGTTGGAAACAGCAATGTGAAAGCACAGAAACATGCACAGTGCTAGCTCGTGCTGGAATTCCGATATTCTTGTAGGTAAACAGCCGAAAGTCTTGACTGTTCCTCTGCAGGAAGCAGCATAAACTCTGTTTTTCCATTACATGCTAAATTAAATGACACCCCTCAAGCAGAAACAGGCAGATTTTCTCTCCAGTGTGTAGGAAAAAAAAAAGGCCCCAAAGGGAACAATCAGGTTCTTCACATTTGGAAGCCTGTGGAATAGTGAAAAAGCACAACGGGATTTTCAGTACATCTGTGTGTCTTCTGAGGTATATGGATTGAAATGCTTTGCATATTTATTTTCATTTATGAATCGAGGTTTGTTCTAGCAATCATGAAAAATTAATATTGACTACATTAGGTATTCAGATACTTAATTGGAACATAGAAATAGAATGGTAAGATAAAAGATAATGAAAATATATTATCTGATTGTGCAAAGTTTGTTTTGTAGAACATGCTGTTCTACAAGTGCAAATTCAAACTGGAAATACAAATAAAAATGAAAATGACAAATAATTCATCTAAGTAATTTAATAATCCATGCTATACCTGCAGAAAATCTATTTTTGAGAAGTACTGTAATGTTATAATAGACTGATTGCTTAAAATCAATACCTGACTAGAAAGTGTGCTTGTAGACAACACGAAATTGCCTGTACTGTAACGATGGTGGTGGTTTGACATAACTCTGATGCAAACAATTTATGTACAGTGAATTACAATCAATTTTTATAAAAACTGTTGTCTTACTGATTGCATCAAAATAAGTCAGCACGGGAGGCAGGTTGTCTGTCCTATACTGTCTATCACAACATAATGACAGGAATCTGGTTGAAAATCTTCTTAAGGCCTTTGAAACTGGTGCAGGTAAGCACCAATCCAATCTCAAATGGTTTATAAATGACACAAGGTTTTTGTTGGCTGTCTGCGAACTGCAGGGCACGCGGCTTTCTCAGCACCCCTCACACATCCTCGGGATGCCCACAGTGGTCATGGCCACCTGAGGGGTGGGCGCAATTCGCATGTGTCCCGCAGGCTGCTTGCCCTCCCACCTAGACTACACAGACCTACTGGAGCACACTGAGGATTTCTCCCTGCCCAGAAAACCCTTCGGTTTTCTGCTGGCAAGACCAGGATCACCAAGGACTGGTCAAGCATTGGAACAGGCTACCCAGGGAAGTGGTTGAGTGCTCAGATACTCGTCCAGGATTAGAGAATTTATCAGACCAGTGGAAACACAGCTGCAAGAAATTAGTTTCTCTCTCTCCTTCTTGCTAATTTAATAAGAAAATATATGGGGGGGAAAAAGTCAAAGTTCATTTCTTGATGTATGCATTTATCTATTACCTTTGAAAAACATAATTTTAAAAAAATCTCAATGCCTAGCAAGTATTTGCTCTGCTATTATTAGCACTGTAAAAGTAACTATGAAACAAAAAGAATGGCCAATGCAGGAATAGGGGCACCTAATCCATTAGCGCACAGTGCACAGCAGGTCACTCTTTAGAGCACTACAAATCTAAAAAAGCTGGCATCTGAAACCAGTATCAGAAACATCTGCTAACATCAGAAGAAGTAAGAGTCCACTGACTCTGGTTCATCATGTGAAACATACAGATGGCAACTAAAAAGCATTTTTTTGGCAACTCTGTTCATAGTGTCGCAGTTCATTTTTCACAGACCCTCCCTATTCTCCTTGCACGTGCTTGTTAATTTGTAGTTCAGTACATTAAATCATCTGTCCCCAAACTTACATGGAATGCCTTAAAAGACATAATGCAATTAATAAAGAAATTCTGAACAAAACTTGGATGATCAAGGACAGTCAAAAGTTAGTATCTACCAAGCATCACTAGAGAGTTACCATGCCTGCCTTGCTTTAAGAACGATAAGACCTCTGGTAGTCCTATACACTGGTATAGGACAGATATTGAGTTCTTAAAGGCATATATTGTTTCGTTGTTAACTCTATGCCTTTCTTCTCATTTCATGTGCTAAAGTATGGTAGGAATATTTTTTCAATCTAAAATAACAACTAAAAAAAAAAAAAAGAGGCCACTTGTTTGTATCTTGCTTTTGTTAAAAGACTGATAACCTTACCAATGTAAGGTAATGATATCTCTTGACGCAAGTAGAGTAACTTCTTATCAGTCACAGTAACATCTGAAGATAGTCACAGGCAGAATTGATTCATCAGTTAGCCAGCAGCTAATTCACCACAAAACTTAAGAATTTACTAGGTTTCTTTTCTTTTCAAATTTCTTCTCTTAACACATCAATTTATAGCCCTAAAAGACATTAATAAAAATCTATTTCAGAGATCTAAATAATATTCACTGATGATACCCAAAATACATGCTACTGCAGCACACAGGAGCTAAATCCCATTATATAAATGCTCCTAAGATTGGGAAAATGCCCCGCATCATTAAATACAGCTTTTCATGCACCCTGTACAGAAGCCCCTCTCGCAGGCTGACTTGTTTGGGTGACTGCTGATGTGGCAGCAGATGCACGATTGTAACTGGCAATCATGAGCCAAGCATTGACCACGCATTGCTCTCTCTGGCCTCCTGGGTGATGTACGCCAAGTCTATTCGTACAGGATACATACCGACATTAGAAAACATTGGGAAGGAAAACAACAACTCACAGTATCTGAATTGGTTATGCTCAATCAGCTTCAAGAAACATTTCTTACAAGACACTACTGGTGAAGAGCACTTCAATGATTTCAACATCATCACTTTGGACTGCAGCTAGGTAGTGAGGTAGTGACACACAACAATTTTACCAAGATTTGTTTCAGTTTTGACGTACGATCACTTTGTCTGTATCCCTTTTTCTGTTAATTTTCAGGAATTTTCTGATATTTAATAGAATGGTTGTTAAGTATGGATACTTAAAGCACTCACCAAAGCCTTGTTTTAAAACAAAGAATTAATGATCATTACTGTTATCTTTTAGTTTGACCCTGTATCTGTAGTTTAAGGATTCTGCACTTCATGATTAAATATAAACATCCGACGCATAACTTATGTAAAAAATGATATCTCTCAGTTTCAATACTGGCAATAAGCCATTCATTAATAACCTAGTGGAACTGTGGATATAACCAACAGGATACAAATCATTAACCAACAGGATACAAATTATATTCTTGCCCGTTAAACAATGACATTTAGAGACAAAATTCATAAAATAAACTACAGAATAAGACTCATTTTGCATGGCTCTAGCTAAAAAAGAGACAGTAAATGGATTTCTCTGCCTTCTTTACATTTGCACTGCCAAAGCTGTCATTTAATTTCTCTAGTTCACCGCAGAGGAACACTAATTTCTAACTACGGAAAGTCTATGTCTTGCTAGTAAGGCTTTTTGTCTGACAATCTGCACTTCTATAGTCCTATATATATTCAAAATGCCAGACCTAGGGTATTATAGTTGAAGCTTTTCTATCTCACTAACAAGAACTTATGGACTTACCCCACACCCCACACCCCCCGCCAAAAAAACCCCAATGAAACAACCCCACACTGTATGAAGCGTCAAATAGCTTGATTTTGATCAAAAATAACTGTACAGGTTCCTGTAGTCACCCAGTTCTACAGTAGGGTGGTGGGGTTTTTTGGGGGGAGGGTAGGGGTGAGGGGGTGGTTTGACCCATAGTTGCTTTTGGTATTGGATTTCCAACACACTCTTAGAATTTCTTTAATTCTTCTAGTTTTATTATAAAAGACTGCAAATTTTGCCAACGGTCATTTCATCCTCATGCTTTAATTCATGCACCGTTTACCAGTGCAGATTATTTTCACTTGGCTCTTAGAAAGATGTCAGCATGCTTTTTTTTTTTTTAGTCTCTTTTCGTTAAATAGTTTTCATTACATGTATATGGTTCATTGTAGGAAAAAAACCAACTCACTAAAATCAGTGTTATTATGTAAAAAGGTAGGGGAAAAGGTGGTGTATCTTATGTAGGTGGCTGTCATCCATGTCATGCCCTGTTTTCCCGGGGGATGTCCCTACCAGGTAATGGCTGCCCAGCAATGAGCTTTATTTGCTTCAGCTCACCCAGAGCCAATCCGTTTATTTCAAAGGTCCTAGAGCAAGGAAATAAAGTCCCACACTCCCAGTCCCGCTCAGAGAAGATATGCATACCACACACTTAGAGGACCATGCATTAGCAAGTGCTAGAAAAGGACTTTTCCCCTTCAAAGCACTTAACTGGGGGAGACTGGAACAGATTTTGCTCCTCTCTTACCACATTACTGAGAAAGGGTGGTGAGCTCAAAGGGTTGTTTCTGAAACCTGTTGCAGCTACCACAGCAAGCAGGGGTATCACATCTTGTAGTCTATTTCACAGACATACACCTGAATAGCAGTAGCAGCCAGGGGAAAAATTCAGCAAAATGGACTGGTAAAATCTGAGCTTTCAGAAA